AAAGAGAAGTACACTGTACGAGCCATACTTATATCAAGTTCACGCGACACAACCCTCACAACAAAACAGCCTGTTGCCAACTTTGAACAAAGATCCAAGATGTGGGCCTTGAAACATAACTTGCTATCTATACATAAACCCAAAAATTTAACATCTGTGCAATTTGAAATCTTTCCCGTGTCAAGGGCTATGTCAGGCAAGGAACCATTGAATTGTAAAACATTTGTCTTGGAAACATTAAGAGATAAATAGTTGGCATCACACCATAGCTTCACAAGTGCAATATCCCTAGAAATTGTCTCACTCAACTCAATAGGATCAAAACCATGCCACAATATAGTGGTGTCATCCGCAAACAACGTGAAACTACCCTTAATCCTGAGAGTGGAAATGTCGTTGACATAAAGTAAGAACAGAATAGGTCCTAGTATGGAGCCCTGCGGCACTCCGGAGCAAACAGTCAGTTCGCTAGATTCGGAACCTCGCACACCCACACTCTGTGTTCTTTCGCTCAAGTAAGACTTGAACCAGGCAAGAGCAGTACCCCGAAAGCCATACACCTCAAGCTTTTGAAGCAGTATTCCATGATTTACGCAGTCGAACGCTTTTGAGAGATCTCAGAACACTGCTGCAGCCAGTTCTCTCTCATTCAGTCTTAGGTAAAGGTTACTTAGGAAAGAAAACACCGCGTCATTCGTGTTTTTCCCTGCCCGAAATCCGTACTGAGCCACACTTAAAATACCATGCTTATCAATGAATGAGTTAACTCGTATCTTCACCAACCTTTCGACTATTTTTGAAAGAGTTGTTATTAATGAGATGGGCCTAAAATTAGCGGGAGATTCAGTGTCACCCTTTTTAAAAATTGGGATAACTAACGACTTCTTCAATGAGTTTGGGAAAATTCCCCTTAAGAAAGAGATGTTGATGGCATCAGCCAGAGCGCTAATTGTACAATCAGGAAGGTGCTGAAAAATCTTGAGAGAAATCCCGTCCCACCCGACTGCAGTTTTATTTTTAATATCACTGAAGATGGTCCGAAGTTCGCCCGAATCAGTTGGCCAAAGGTAGAACGAGTCGGTTATACAGGTATCCTTCAAATAATCCAACGGGTAGGTAATTGGGGAAATATTTGTAGCCAGGTCTCCAGCTATGGTGCAAAAATAATTATTGAAAACATTTGGTTCCACCGAAGTTTGGATTCCACTATTGACATTTTTGCCCCTAATATCGCCAAGTTGGCAAAGAATACAAACAAGATTGATGAAAACTATCGAGGGGGTGCAGCACAATTGGTATAATCAAAAATACTGAGATTTTCTCAAAGAATCGCTATGCTACGCTGTTTTCATAATGAAAGTATAAAGCCTGTCGGTGGATAATCCATACTAAATGCGCGAAGTAGACCCACATTTATGAAGTGTTGCGTGGCATTCTGGCTAGTCAGATTATTGGATCATTGTTGTCAATGGACAGTTGAATAATGGAAAAATTTACTCATACATTTTTAAGAGCAAATTGCAGCATCTCTTGTTTCATTACTAATGAGAAGGAATGTGTGCTTTCAGCAGGAATGACGTCCTGCACACTGTTGTTGGATTGCTTGATTTTTTTTGAAATTCGTCTTTCTACAGCTGAAAACATGATTTCTGATTGGTTTTGGGTTCGGCTTATATCAATGCTTGCATAAATGTGATTGGATTAACGTTCCGCATACTCGCTTGACTGAAAACAGCGCCAGTTGCATAATTCCTAGTGGTGGTAGACAATAAAAGGGTTATGAAAAATGTGGGCATATGAGAAAATTGGGGCATTATTACTTAATTAAAAGATTTTTTAAATGATCAAAAAAAATATATATGAATTCAGGAGAATTTTCAGCTTTTGCATTTTCATTTCAACAAAAAGTCATGAACTTTGATATTATGGCAAATTGTTGAATGAAACATCAGTAATATGCAACTAAACCTAAAAATGATTTAAGATCTTTTAGCATGTTTGACAAGGGGGCGATTTTTATGGTGGCAATCTTATCAGGGTCTGGTTTAATCCTAGGTCTAATCTCGTTTTTCGTTCTACATATTTCATGTTGAACGTCGGGTCAGATACAAAAATTCTGATTTTTTAACTGTACTTTAGAAATTCACACAGAGCTTCTTCTTGACATTGCGACGAATCTAATCGACTTTCTCTTCTATGGTTTTACAAAGCACAAACCGAGGCACAAACACAAGTATTGCAAATTCTAGATGTGTCTAGAAGTGATAATCTCATTTTATGAGGTTAATGCCTTAGGTTAATGCAGGTAATTATAAGACAAACGTGCTTACACATCAAGTTTGCTGTATAAAAGAAGTTCATTCAATAGATAAAATATAAGCAGAATAAAGGCGGATAAGAATATACCAGAAATGGGATGAAAAAAATTGTGGAAAATATTACATCCATTTGTTGGGAGGAGAAGCACAACAGAAAATCTATTTTGTTTGACAAAGAAGAAATAATCTGTTGGACATGAAAATATCAACATTTGTTACTTGGACAAAATGTGGGTTACCGAAGGACACATAGTAAATAAACTCTGACAATATGAAAATGTCCACAATCCTCGCCAGGCATTTGTGGATGGCCTTTCCACTGGCTTAAAAACGTCTTCCAGTAAGGTCCGCAGGTTAATAATAACTCACATTGGTAGTATGGTAGTGATAGAGGCTTTTTAAATGGAGGTTAGCTTGAATTCGAATCCAAATCAACCAACGATTACCATGAAGAAATGACGACCGATGTTTTTGAAGACTACTTTTCTCAAATGATAACATCGATTTCTCAAGGTTCCGTCATTGTCCTGGACAATGCTAGCTAACTCCCGTATTCATGGTATAAAGAAGACATAGTAAATTGGCTAAATGAAAAAAGAATGCCCTATGAAAATGATATTTTGAAAAAAGAGGCTCTGAAATAGCTAAAGAAAAAAAAACACAGAGCAAAAGACATATTGAATTAAATCCGATTGAATTAATATATGGGGTCAGGTATGTACTATACCAAGAAATAACACCACCTTCAAATTACAAGACTTATGAAAACTGTTAAGATAGTCGTTGAATCATGTAACTCTAGAAAACTGGAGCAATGCTGTAAACCATGTAAAAACGAAGAACAAAACATGTGGAACCTAGACAACTTCGTGGAAAAGTCTGTAGAACCATTAATTATAATTGTGAGAGTATCTGATTCAGATGACAGCGACTCATAGGAAAGTCGCTCAGAGAATTGAATATTTTTCTAAGTCACTTTTTTCTATAAAAAATTCTATTATCTTGTTTCCATTGCAATAGGTGAACTCGAGGGTGAACTTTTTGTCCATTTTTATTATTGTAATTTAAGTATTCTTTATTTTTGTAGGGAGGAAATTATTAATGTATGATGATCCCTTGGATGATTCTATGGTCACAGAGATAGCAAAGATCGCTCAAATTTTCACAGAGGAATTTTGCTGTTGTGGATCGATCGGTTTTTAGTGGAATTTGGGTAGGGCGAGGGGTAGAGCTAATCGGAAAATAATGCGACCTGTGAATAGTTAGCACCCTAAAGCCCGGGACACATCTATCATACATTCTTCCAATCCGACTCCGATCATACAATCAGGGTCCTTATTCTTGGAACAGGGAGCAGCGTTCCCAGGAGAACGAGTGTTCCGCTGCTCCCCTATTCCAAGAATAAGGACCTTGATTGTATGATCGGAGTCGGATCGGAAGAATGCATGATAGATGTGTCCCGGCCTTAACTTGTAGCACCCTTAACTTTTTCATGAAAAGAGTTCTAGTTCACTGTGGGATGGTTATAGTTCTGCAGTACAAGTTAAAAAAATTAAAAAACGAAAATAGGGGTGCTAACATGGAGTTCTGATGAAAAATCTCAGTCTGGTATAGTTCTCAGAGGGTGCAGTTGAAGTTCTGCAGTAGAAGTTGGAAATTTATAAAATTTATAAAAAAAAAATGATTAAAAAAAAAACATGTTTTTTGCTGCTAGGCTAGGTACCTATAGAGTCTATTTGCTCCACCCTGGGTTGGTAATACACTTGGTATTACACTCGGTATTACATTAACATACTGTAGCAAGGAGCAAAATAATGGGCCTGTTTGGGTTTGAAAAAAGGATGGTTCTAGAACAGTTCAAAATAATCACACAGTTTCTTAATGAAATTTGTGATAGCCAAGCCGTTGTCATTTTGATGATTGATAAACTGTACGATTGTTTTGAACCAACGCTAGGACCGTCCTTTTTTGAAACCCGGACAAGCCCAATATTACATAGGTACATTTTATCACAGCAGGAACAACAACAATGTTGTCTTTCATCAAATAGAGATATAAATCCATTTGTTTTACTCTTGGTATCAGTTTCATATTTCATATTCATATAGTATATATTACCTACTACAGAGATTTGTTTGCAATTTTCAATATAAGTTTTATCCTCGGTTTTATCATGAGAAATAGGAAATAGGTGGGTTGTACCTAGGTAGGTAAGGCAAGGAATACAAAACACGACTGCATTCTTCAGGAATTGAATAAATTATTTTTATAATGATAGCGACAGCTCACGCATACAATGCATGGAAAACTACAAAATTTTATAGGTAATTATAGATTTTAAAAAATCCTAAAAAACAGGAAAGGTCCAATTTGGGCAATGTCATGAGATGCTGTTTGTGTATGCTTGCTTATGCTTATATACATAAACGTAGTCATAAATATACCTGCCTTCCAAAGTAAAATATCACCTGATGTTTTTGTGACACCGCTTTTTTTTCGGAATCAAAATAATTACCAAGGTTAACTTAGTTCATTATGGTAAAAATAAATTTATAATTTCAAGGAATCCATTAGAGATATTCTCCAAACATTAAACAAAACAATAAAATGTCAAAATGCTTATCTATTGTTTATAGTCTAGTCGGTCATTTTTAAAAGGGCACTAGACAATTCAAAACTCACCCTTTTTGACATTTATTCCGGGACTTCCAATTGAAAAACAACTTAAGCAACACAAAACTGCAATAAAAATAAGAGTAACATTCCGAAACCTTAGAAGCATCGTTTTATCAGAGTTCTACACGTGCTTTACGTTTTTCCCGAAATTTTACGACATAACCGATTTTTATTTTTGTCTCCCCCCACAATTCGAACCATTAACTAGTCGTTTTTCATTAGGGATACTCCGATTCTCGCAGTCGACGCACTCGCTGCAGTCCGCCTTTCTTTATACTTTATTTCAGACTATTAGTCTGAAAAAGCGCCTGCCTATGCCTCGTTCGCGAATGCGGAATACCTTTCGCACGTTTATATCCTTTTCCCACTCATAAACAATAATTACAGCGACGAGTCCTTTAATAATTTAACGGATACCGTACGGATACGAACACACAGCACAGCACACAGCTCACAGCTTCTGGTCTGGTTCCCTTGAAATTACATGCGCGTTGCGCAGCTATCTATCACCTCACTCCGGCCCTTTGGGCCATCGTCTGTCCAGAACGAGCGCAAGCGTATTCGCTGGACGTTTTTCCCAATTATTTATGGAAATAGATCTATCCTACAGGATCCCATAGAAGTCAGGCCAAGAACCGCGCAGGAGACTTCATTTAAAAAATGATTGGGTTCCAAACAAAAAATTAATCACAAAAGTTGGTTGGTTGTTGGTTTAGAGTTGTAATTTTTTCAAAATATTTCAAATAAAACAGAGTGTCTCACAAATGCTGCCGGTATATTTTTATATAGAACATGCCCTATATTTTTTAGCAAGCGAGCCGGTTCTTTTATTTCTATTCAGCCCTAAATTTATTTTGAGGCCGGTAACGCTGTAAATTAACAGATACGTTACCTATTTTCTTTGATTTTTTTTTGAAAACAATGTATGTATTAGGTTCTATAAACAATTTACAAAGTATCCCTACAGATAGATACCTACATGAGGATCTTCTTAGCAGTGTTCGAAGCACAGATGTAGGTATCGATTATATACCTAAATGAATATTTAATACAAGTGTTCTTTTTCCAAAAATTAGTAAGAAGCAATACTAGTTTCTTAGGATAAATTGAAACTACTTTCCACCAACCAAACTATTCTAATGTGTTCTTTAACATTTTCAACCTTCATAGCATCAATAATAGCGGATTAGGTACAGTACCCCAGACATCTATTTTTTGTTAGAAAGTTTTTTCAGGTAATGACCAACGTGAAATCAGGGACTTAAGAGTCCCTGTTTGGGAATCGACCCACTGTGTAGTGGACCCCGCATTCCCGTGCCAGTCCTTGACGCGTTTCGTCCTTGTTAGGACTCATCAGAAGGATATAGGCTGAGGCTCCCTGTCCAAGCAAAATTGAACTTCGTTGACCAGTCAGAAACAACTACTCCGAGGGCAAATACCCCTACGGTCCTACCGGCGTTGAGCTACACTGATTGGTCTGAGCTTTCGTTGGCAATGAAAATTGTTAAAAAGTTTTTTCAGGTAATGACCAACGTGAAATCAGGGACATAAGAGTCCCTGTTTGGGAATCGACCCACTAAGTAGTGGACCCCGCATTCCCTTGCCAGTCCTTGACGCGTTTCGTCCTTGTTAGGACTCATCAGAAGGATATAGGCTGAAGCTCCCTGTCCAAGCAAAATTGAACTTCCTTGACCAGTCAGAAACAAACTACTCCGAGGGCAAATACCCCCACCGGCGTTGAACTACACTGATTGGTCTGAGCTTTCGTTGGCAATGAAAATTGTTAGAAAGTTTTTTCAGGTAATGACCTACGTGAAATCAGAGACATAAGGAGTCCCTGTTTGGGAATCGACCCACTGAGTAGTGGGTCTATTTTTTGTTGAAATTTTTTTTGATATTTTCCATTTTCCGGATTGCGTTTTGGCAGTTTACAAGTTTTTGGCTTAAGACGTTTAAGTGCTATTTTGAGCTTGTTTTTTTTAAAAAACTGAAGGCAACGCTGTACCGACCGAGCGACTAAAAGTTTATTCGGTATGAACTATATCTATTATAATAGATATAGTTATCTACAATTAAATACCTACATACATTCTAGTCAAATCGAAATAAGGAGCAATTTCAAAAACACCTTTATTTTAATTAAATTTTTGAATAACTCTGGTAAAATGTTCATTTCCAATTACTATATTATTATATTCTAAACTTGTAAAGACCCTTTTGTTCCCTCGTAAATAATAAGATATTAGATATTTTATCTTGCTTATCTTAGCATTTATTTTATTATAAAAGAAGCACGCAGCTAGAGTAAAGCATTCATCTAACTAACAGTAATTTGTTTCAACTTAGAATAGATAAAAGTTTTCATTTGGAATAGGTACCTACTTAGTTTTTGATGAAATAGTTTTTAAAAACAAAGTTTACTGAAGTGGAAACTCAAATGGCGCAGGCGGTAGAATCCTCAGATGTGCAAAGCTTTGGAGATCCGAAATTTCCGAAAAACGTGTTTTTTCGAAAAAAAAAGTGTTTCGCGAATTTTTCGAAAAAGTGAACTGAGGACGAGAAGGATTAAAAGTATTAAAACCAACGTGCTACGGAAGTGTTATTGTTACAAAGCATTATCTGTTTGCAAGTAAACATTTTGTAATTTTGGTGCTTATAATTAAGGCCTTTTGCTATTTTTGTGTATACAGTGAATTCATAAAGTTCAGCATACATTCATTATTTTGAAAACGGTAGAATATTCGAAAAATCGCATATCGATGAATTTCACCGGACCTTATACAGGTGAGAATGCTCAAAAAGAATTTTTAGTCACCAGCAAACTGGCAACCTTCTTATGACAAGGCCAGACTTGAAAACTTGGCATGATATAAGAGATGCTTTGAGAATCAAATACGGAGATCCTTATTCAAGACAAAATCTAATTCAGATATTAATATATGTACAAGCAAAAATTCCAAAAAAAATATTTCTGATTATCTTGAAAGATTCAAACTTCTTGTATATAGAATTATTGCAAAAAAGTCACCCAGACCTAGCAACGGTTTCACACCTCCTAGTCGCACAAAATGAAATCACTGCGGTTCAAAATTTGCTAACAAATTCACCAGTAGAATTACGTACAATATTAATGATTCACAATCCTGAAACACTAGGATGCAGCAACTGTTTTAAACTATCATTTCGCAGAAAATCATACGAAGTTGAACAAGTCACATAACTAACTAATACTAAAAAAATGTTTATTCAAACCAAATACACACACTTTTCAAACATCATTTATTTAGATTTAGATAATAATCATAATTCATAATCATTCGATCATGAGTTGGCATTCCATACTAAACCTATACCTTAAAGTTGAGTTGAGCACTGGTTTCTTTTCTGGCATGTTACACGAAATCTGGTTGAACATCACACTATACTTATTTTGTCTTTTAAGTTTTAGTCCCAGTGCATGGCCGTAACAATAATAGGGTGGCAGGATCGACCACAGGAGGTACTGGGCAAATTAGGCCATTGTTTACCCCCCCCCCCCCTCAAAAATAAAAGCCCTTGCTACCAACAAACATATAGAAGCTCTGGTACTTTTGGAGAAAAAAAATTCCAAACAACACAATGTGTTTGCAAAGAGCAAACAAAATCAACAATTTCCTAAACCAACACCGATGTCTGGCGTATATCAATTCAACCTCGCAGCCAAAATTCTCAAGTATTTAGACCACAACAAAATCAACAATCAACCAGGTCCCTCTAATCATTTTAGACCGAAACCAAATGTTGGTCCATCAAATACACGATCGAAAGCAATCAATAACTTTATTTAACAGAGTTCGGAAGGAAATCCTGATCAATAATTCGGAAATCAACATAACGATTATACTCTGATTATTCTGATAATCAAGACGAGCAATCTAATAATGACTATTACCCTGATTACGAGCAACAAGAAAATTATTTGGAAGAACATTTTCAACTGACAGCCTCGGAACAAGACAATCAGCCTTAACTTTAAATAGTTACCAAATCAATCAATAATTTAGGTACCTTTCATCCACATACAAAATCCACCTTGTAAACTCCTAATTGCTACTGAAAGTCATGCCTCTCTTATGAGACCTGTTCACGTAAAAACTTATCGTTATCCCGACGTTCATAAAGAAGAGGTCAATGAACAAATTAAAAAAATGATAGACGAAAATATTATCAGACCGTCCTCAAGCCCTCGGTCATCCCCTGTGTCCCTGAGAAATTAGACGCTTCAAGCAAACAAAAATGGCGAATGGTCGTTGACTATCTGATCTATATCTGACATTCTGAACAAGCTTGGCAGAAGTAATTATTTTATTACTTCAGATCTAGCTTCTGGTTTTTACATGTATGGTTTCCACCAAGTGGAGATGCACCCAAGTTCAATTCCTTAAACTGCTGTCAACGTAGAAAACGGGCATTATGAATGAACTCGCATGCCCTTTGGCTTAAAAATTGCCCCAGCCACTTTTCAAAGAGTGATGGATGATGTTTTCTCAAAACAAAATATGGATGACATCATTGTATACAGAGTGTTTGGCGGAGGGTTAGCCAAACTTGGTGGGTGTATAGATAGGCCCATTTCGAAGATATTTTATTAATACACTAGTGCCCTTAAGGTCCCTGTTTTTTTTTATTATTTTTTTTGTATTATTCTCAAGAATTTTCAAAAATGGCTCTTTTAACTTCTGTAACTTTCATCAAGATCAAGGATACCCCACAGACCAAAAACGCACGAAAAAAAACATTTTCATAAACATTAAAAAAAAAAGTTACAGGAGTTAAAAGGTCAATTTTTGAAAATTCTTGAGAACAATACGAAAGCAATGATAAAAAAAGGGGAACTTAAGGCCACAAGAGTATTAATAAAATATCTTTGAAATGAGCCTATCTATATACACCCACCAAGTTTGGCTAACCCTCCGCCAAACACCCTGTATATCACTTCTTTTCAAAGAACATATAAGAAACCTAAAAATGATATTTCAAAGAGCGGAGCAGTTCAATTTGAAAATACAATTAAACAAGTCAGAATTTTTGAAGGAAACAGTCGAATTTTCGTAATAACCCCAGAAGGTATCAAACCAAACCTGAAAAAATCGAGGCTATTATCAATATATTCTAAATTCCAAATTCCAAAAACCACTAAAAAGAAATTAAATCATTCTTATAGGATTGATAGGATTTTATCGCAAAATCATGAAAAACTTTGCCAAAATAACTATAAGCCTGTGACATTATGTTTATACAAGGATAGAAAAATATTTCACGACTCTGAATTTATTCATAGTTTTGAATCATGCAAAAATCTACTTATAAATGATCCTATTTTACAAGACCGAGATTTTACTAAACATTTCCTTTTGACTAAACAGACGCATCTAATTATGCTATTGGCGCTGTATCATCACAAGGACCAATAGGTTCAGATCTACCTGACTACCTATTGCCTATGCAAGTCGCACACTCATTATCATCATAGGCAAGGCAATCACTCGATACCGAGTATGATTATCTTCTATTCTACTCTTATAATCTCATTCTCGTCGATTGTGTAAAAGTATCATTTTATTGA